TCTTTCTGTTTCAAGCACTGTCCTCACACTACATCATTTATTTTGTCTATTTCATAGGATTTTAAAGATTAGATATCATCTTTACCCTCATTTAGCAGAAAAGAAAATTAATCCACTGAAAATTTAGATACCTTCTGTGTTAGCCAGGGTTCAGAGAACAGTTATTAGGATACAGATTGACGTAGATATAAAAATATGATATATAAACACCTGAGATGTATTATGAGGAACTGACTCAGGTTTATGGAGATGGACAGTTTTGACAGAGACAGTGCAGAGAAGGCACGTCTATATTCAGAGTTCCTATTCCAGTAAGAACAAAGCACTGGAACAAAGCACTGCCCTTCTAACGATGGAAGCTTTCTAGTGTAACCAACCCACCACAGGTAGCTCCCTGTTCCGGGAATGGCACCATCACGAGGATTCTGCTGTTGGCAGAATCTACCATTCTTCAGTGGCTATATCCAGGTTGGCTTGATGAGCTGAATTCCATGTTTCTAAACCTCCATCCTCACACCACGTACAGTTTGTTCACACATCCCTGGGGTAACCACCAGTGTGGCTGGGGAAGAGGCCAACTGATAATATAATGGGTCATCCTACCACCTGGTTATTAAAATTCTCCTCTGCAAAGATAACCTATCGATGGGCATTTACATGCATCACAAAAATCTTCACTCTTTTTCCCCCACTCAGAAAGCCCTATCTTGATTTATCTCCCCCAAATTTCTAATTGTGTTCAAGTTGCTGACCATCCAAACCATTGGCCTCAGCCCATGCACTGGTATACAACCACACTTCTGGCCATTTCCCCTTCCAGGCCATGTCAACAAACAGGTACACTGTTTTCAGTTCTGCCCACGTGGAGGATTTCTGTGTGTCACTCCGTTTCAGAGAGGTTCCAGAGAGGGGCTGTAGTGCTACCACTTTTAAGCAGTGTCTAGAACCATCTATCAGCCAGGCCCCAGTCTCCTCTTCCTGTCAGCCAATCATAAGTAACTCTCCATGAGGACATAGGTGCAGGCTGAAACCAAAAAGGCACTATCATAGAAGTGGGAACCAAGGATATTTGGGCCACTTCATCCTGTACTTTTTTGTGCTAACGGGTCCAGCCTGGGCATGATCACATATGTGCCACTCCTATTCAACGATAAAGTATTGTGCATACCCAAATTTTTGGCTGGTAGGTCAGATAACTTGAGAGGCAGTCTAGACAACTTGGAAACTTGACCATTTTTGGTCAAGCACCCTATCTATAAAAAGGCTTAAAAGGCAGGACAAAACTATCTTTTCAAAAGTAGAGTCATTATCCAACTATAAAGGCTGGGTTTTACTGTGAATTTGTAACAGAAAAATCAATGCAGGTTGATTATCTCACACACTTATACATTTCCATACATTATCAAGATTTGTCTCAAAAATCTTGACAAATTGTAAATTAGAAAACTCAAGAAGTGCTTTTTGAGTATAGTGTACCTCATTACGGGGCTGATGTTGAACCTTGCCTTTGGTACCTGTTGGAATTTGACTCTAGGTGTAGGTCTGTAAGCAAAGAAGGCTGCAGGTGGGTGCTGAGGACAATTAGCGTTGTCTTGCAGGGCAACTGCTCAGTGGAAGTCATCCCATTACCATTTCCTCCGCAATGTAGGGGTGATCCTGCAGAATGAGGGCGAGAGGCTGATGCCACTGAGGGTAGGGAGACTACTTCCAGGTATAGGACATTTGTCAGAATGTAGGCACTTTATGACCCGATTCATCACATTCTCCCCAAGTTACAGGATCATATCCTTTCTCAAGCAATGCCTTCACTTTGAAAGGACATACCAGGGCTGGTGCTGTGGCGTAGCATGTAAAGCCGCCACCTGCAGTGCCAGCATCCCATACGGATGCTGGTATGAGTCCCAGCTGCTCCACTTTCGATCAAGCTCTCTGCTACGGCCTGGGAAAACAGTGGAAGATGGCCCAGGTCCTTGGGCCTCTGTGCCCATGTGGGAGATCTGGAAGAGGCTCCTGGCTTTGGGCTGGCACAGCTCCAGCCATTGCAGCTATCTGGGGGGAGAAACAATGGATACAAGACCTGTCTCTCTCTGCCTCTCTGTAACTAGGCTTTCAAATAAATAAATCTTTAAACAAAAAAGAACATACCTTATGGGCATATAACTTGCTTTGCAATTCAGCCAGTGCCTGGATGAGACTTTTTATTTGATTTTAAGCAGTCTGAGCTACATACACAGGAGACAAGGGTCACCTTTAGGTCATACTGTGCTCACTAAACACCCCAGGAGTGTCTAGCCAGATATCTATATAGTCAAGTTGACATGCAAAATTAACCATCAGAACTGCCTAGAGCCACACAACTGGCAAATTATGGGCCCAGATTTACAGTCAAAAAGTCCATTTCCAGAAACATGATTGAATCATTAAGTTGGAACATACAGTTATAAATTCCCTCAGAGCTACCAGCAGACACAAGAGCAAAAATCACTTCTACCATTTCATTCACACACACACACACGGAGTTCTGTGACACTGAAAATGCCGCCAGGTACTCTATGTACTTAGACAGATTTCAGTGCCCCTCTTCCCTGGTTATCTTGAGGTTTTTTTTGACAGACAGAGTTAGAGACAGAAAGATCTTCCTTCCGTTGGTTCACCCCCCAAATGGCCGCTATGGCCAGCGCACTGCGTCGATCTGAAGCCAGGAGCCAGGTGCTTCCTCCTGATCTCCCATGCAGGTGCAGGGCCCAAGCACTTGGGCCATCCTCCACTGCACTCCCTGGGCCACAGCAGAGAGCTGGACTGGAAGAAGAGCAACCGGGACAGAATCCGGTGCCCCAACCGGAACTAGAACCCAGGGTGCCGGCGCCACAGGTGGAGAATTAGCCTAGTGAGCCGCAGCGCCGGCCTTGAATTCCTTCTAAAGCAGCAACTGGGGTATGTGTTTGGCATAGCAGTTAGGATACTTCTTGGGATGCCAGCATTCCATGTCAAAGTGCCTGCTCTTCTACTGACCCAGCTTCCTACTAAGGTATACCCTAGGAGGAGGAAAGCCAATGGTTAAATTACTTGGGGCCCTGTCACCCATGAGAGATTAATATGCAGTTGCAGGCATTTAGTGAGTGAACCAGCCTGTAAGAGCTCTCATTCACGTACTCTTGGCATTTCCAATAAAAATTAAAATAAAACAGTAGCTCTGTTAGCAACTTGACATATGGTGTTTCCAGGTGTATTTGATCTAATTTGTTGGTCCTAATACAGACCCAAAACTTCTTAACGGTATAACTTTGACCACATAAGTTAGAACTGAATCAAAGTTAGTCCTAAAATATATATTCCTGATTTCTGATATTTCTGATATGTTGTGAATAACCAAGAAAGATAAGGGAAGTGGAGTCGGGTATCACTGGATATCTGCACGTGAATACTATCATTACAGAGCAAATATACTCATGGGAAATTATGGATTTAATAGCTAAAATGTAGGGAACCAAACAAGTACTTCATTCTTCATGTCTCACCTTTAAATGAGAAATGTTTAAAGTTAATCTATCAAGCTGCATGGAATATTAATCCCATTTACTCTCCATTTATCTCAGATCATAAAGATAGAACCCACTTCTTTTTATGGTGGTAGTGTCCAAATTGTTGAAACAGTAAACTCATTCTTCAGATGCTAATAAAAATATCCACAAAAAAGCCAAAGGAAAGATGGAAAGGGAGCAAAGTCTTGATGCCACGATAGCAGAGCACAGGCCAGCTGGTTAGGAAGAACTGGAGTTGGGCCCAGAGATCATCTGTTTGGTTTTACTGTTTTAGCTCCTGGGCTGTAGCGAGGCTTCCACAGAATGCATTTTTTAAAGCATTACCATTATATTTTAGAGCGATGTATATATCATTGTAAAATCTTTTAAGTATATTGGACATCATAGGTCTGTGTGATATTTTAATAAGTTTCTGCTTCAAAGTGTGATTTTTTAATATACCTATGCATGCCATTAAATGTCACATCTCACTTCCTGTGTTACATTTGAATTGTCTTGTTTTTAAGGGGTACAATGTATCCTGATACTTAATTCCCATCTCAGCTTCTGGCTAATAATACTGTGTCTATCAAGATAGCAAATATAGGTTTATTAGTTTTACTGTAAGAAGAAAATGCTTAATGGTCAGAAGTTTTTTTTTTTTTTTTAAGTAAAAATGTCCATCTTAAATAAAGACTTATTTGAAAGATAGAGATACAGAGAACGCAAAGTGAGATTCTCCATCCACTGGTTCACTCACCAAATGGCTGCAACGGCCAAGGCTGGGCCAGGAGCTTCTTCCAGGTTTCCCACGTGGATGCAGGGGCCCAAGGACTTGGGCCATTGCCTGCTGCTCTCCCAGACACATTATCAGGGAACTGGATCAGAAGTAGAACAGCCAAACCTGGAGCAGGTGTCCATCCATATTGGATGTCAGACCACAGGCGGAGGCTTAGCCTACTGTGCCACAGCACTGGCCCCCATTCTTATTCTTTTAAACTGCAGTTTGAGGGGCATGCATTTAGCTTAGCTGTTAAGATGCCTACCTCCCACATTCCACTCTTTGCTTCAGCTCCCAGCTCTAGCTTCCTGTTGACCCAAGTCCTAGGAGTCAACTGGGTTGGCTCAAATAATTGAGTTCCTGCTATCCACATGGGAACATAGGGGACCTAGATCGAGTTTCTGGCTCCTCAACTAGGCCTGGCTTGGTTCTGGCCATTGTTGCAGGCACATCAAAAGGAAATAAGCAAATGGGAGGGTCTGTCTATGTCTTCACTTCCCCCCACACCAGGAGGTAAAATAAAACCCGTAATTTCTAATAATTTATCAATGATGTATTTCTTCCGATTTTCTCATTTTCTGATCAACAGCAACTGCAATGTATCTTGATCCTGCCATTGGTCTGGGTAGTTAGCAGCTATGTATTTGTTTTCTCTGATAAAAACACACATTAATATTTATAACCATTTTCCTTCGCAGCATCTCCCAGATGGCTCCATGCCCAGTGCACATGTTGAATTTTATCTTTTACCATATCCCAGAGAAGTTAACAGGAGAAAAACAAAGTCTGTTCCAAAATGTACTGACCCCACTTACAATGAAATTGTAAGTATGATTCATCCCTTGTCCAGTCATTTTGTATTTCTGTTACCATTTTTCAGTTTAACAACCAAATATGGAGAATTTGCAGTAATTGGCAGCATTATTCCTTAAAGGAAAGACATTGCCCAAAACAGCCACAGTATGCTGATCACGGTTCTAAATGCTATGGGAACTCAAAATGCAGATCCTGCTGTCAAAGCTCCTATGAACCAGTTTTCAGAGGATGGCCAACCTCCAGCAAGAGCCCAAGAATTCTGTATGCTGACATTGTCCCCGACTTCATCTTATTTTCTCCACCTCTATTCTCCTTTCTTTGATTTGCCTAACCTATTAATTTCATCATAAGCTGTCTATGTAGAATAATCTCATAAAACCCTTTTGAATAAAAAAAAATACAGAATACTCTTTGGGCAGTTGCTAACATATTAAAAAAGGTAACATTACATATGGTTAATGATTTGCAATTGATAGCTTAAATAGCCAATCCTCTAACTTCTAAGGAAAATGCCTACATTTATCTTTTTTAAAGTTTATTTTTATTTATTTGAAATGGGGAGAGACAGTTCCCAAATGCCACTACAGTCAGTGTTGGGGCAGGCTAAAGCCAGGAGCCAGGAACTCCAACCCAGTCTCCTATGTGGGTGGTAGGGATACAAGTGCCTGAGCCATTATCTGCTGCCTCCCAGGGCATGCAATAGGAGAAAAGCTGATTGAGAAGCTGAGAGTTGGGATTCAAAACAGATACCGATATGAACATGGGAGATACAAGTGCCTGCTTGACCTGCTGCACTCAGCAACGCCCACACCAATTTATTCTCGATTATATCTTTTCCCATCTCTTCTATCCCTTCTCAGCCAGTTTTTTCTCCTTAAGTTTGCCTCAAGGTGCTTAAAGTCTTAAAAATTGGCAAAAATAAAAATTAAACTCAGCATTTCTAGCAAATTTTTCTTTCTTTGCCTATGACTGTTGCTCAACAATATCCTAAACTAGTTGGAGGTGTTGCTGCACAACCCCTAAACTGGATCCTCTTTCCTGACACACAGAAAATAAATCATTGATATTGGGATGGTTGGAGAAAGCAGGTTTTTATTGTAAAGTGCAGAACAAGGAGCCAAGCACATATTGCTTAATTCCCAGGCTCTCAAGGAGTTAGAGGTGAAGGTTCTTACAGGTTGAAGTTGGGGCTGAGAGGTGTGTGATGGGCTGTATCTAAGTTCCTGGCTGGTCAGTGGTGCTCATGACCTTCCTTTGATTGGTCAGTGATGCTGTGTTCTTCAGGGGACTCGTGATGGCCAGGTGGGCTCCTGTTGGTCCAAGGGTTACATTCTGCCTGGACCTGGAATTCTTCTAAGCAAACTCCTTCAGATAATATTGTTCACCTAGGTTCTTATCTATTGAAGAAGCAAAAAATTCCTTCAGTTCAAAGATTAGAACCTCATAGGGCCAGCTGTATCACTCCTTCAAGCTCATGAATTCCTTTTGATAAAGTACAGACAAGGGCTTGTTGGGCTAAGGGAACAAGACTAGAGGCTGGGTCCCATTTTTACATTACAGGGTCAGTTTCCTCATCCATACTCTTGCAGAATTAGCAAACATAACCTGCTATCACTATTACCTCCTTTCACCCTTCAATCTTTTGCAATGTGGGTTCTTACTTTTAGTCCTTTATTCAAGTGCATCGATAGACTGATAAGGCTCAATCTAATGAGCCCTCAGGTTCTCCTCTCCAACAATCAGTAACACTATTGGCTGTACTCTTTCTTCAGACCCATTTTGCTTATTGAGTACTAACTTTTATTAGTTCATTTTCTCTAACCACTACCATTTTTCTTTGTTGTTAAAATCATGTTAACTCGAGTCCCATGATCTCCCATCATCTCTTAGAATCCAGTCACTCTCTTAAGATCCTTGGTTTCTACCACCATAGAGTCGATCATCAATGGATAAATAACACTTTAAATATCGTGTCTGTATTGAATACATACAAGCTTTTTTCTTGTCCTGTCAAATTCAATATAACAGCTATCAACATAGCATTAGGCACAATAAGTAATCTTACAAATGATTTGAAGCATATAGGAGGGTGTGCATAGGTTCCATGTAAATGTTGCTTTCTCTATATAAGGGACTTCAGCATCTGCAGATTTCCATTTGCTTGGGGTGGCAAGGGCATGTCCTGGACACAAACCTCAATGGATATACAGGGATTGCTGTATGCAGCCCCAAAATTGTCTTATGTGTCCAAGTTTTTGTTACCTCCTATGTGTAGGTTGCATATGAAATCATTCTTCAAGACAGGCTTTTCTTTCAAATTTTGATGTGCATTTCTACAAGGTTACTGGAGAGCTTCATTTGAACGTCTCCAAAGCCCTTCTAGGCCAGGCCATCTCCTTCCAACATTTCAGTGACCTCTTAATGACACCACACCCCATCGCTCCCATGTCCAGTTACTCTGCAAGTTTTACCAGTTCTGCTTATGCAGCTATCTGCTTCACAAATCTATCAACTCCTCCCTGTCTTACTGCTACTTCTGTTTAAGCTCCTTGTCACTGGCTATTAACATTTCTCTGCTGTCTTGCTTTCTCTATTAAATATTTACATATCTTGGGATCTTGCAAAATTAAATAAGGGCAAGTTTTTGATGAAGTGGTTAAGACCTCACTTCTGATGCCCACATCCCACACCTGATTACCCGAGTCCAAGTGCAGGCTCTGCTTTGAGTCCAGCTTCTTGCTAATGCACACCCTGGGAATCAGCACATATGGTGCAATACTTGAACCCATGCCATCCACATAGGAGACATAGATTCATTTCGAGGCCTCAGGCTTGGGCCTGCCCTAGCTCTGGTTATTGAAGCATTTGAGGAATTTAACATGTAATAGGAGTCTGTTTTTTCAAAGATTTATTTTATTTGAAATAGTTACAGAGAGAGGTAAAGAAAGAGAGGTCTTCCATCTGCTGGTTCACTCCCCAGGTGGCCACAACAGCCGGAGCTGTGCTGATCTGAAGCCAGGAGCTTCTTCTGGGTCTCCCATGTGGGTGCAGGGGTCCAAGCACTTGGGCCATCTTCTACTTTCCTGGGCCAGAAAGAGCTGGGTTGGAAGAGGAGCAGCTGGGACTAGAACCGGTGCCCATATGGGATGCCAGCGCTTCAGGCCAGGGATTTAACCTGCTGTGCCACAGCACCAACCCCAATAGGAGTCTTTTTCTGTCTGTTCCTCAATTATTTTTATGTTTTAAAAGCAATCACTACAATACTTGATCTGTGCTTGCAGCATGCACACACACTATTATATTTTGGACACATTCAAAATTACTTTACAACCAAGGGTCCATGCAAAGCCAATTCCAATGTGTGTATAATCCCAGGCAGCAAAAATTTAAAGTCTATATGTGTAAGTGACTATTTTAATGAACCATCAGGACAGTAAAAAGACATTGTTTAAACAAAGTTGGCAGGAAAACTAACTTTGAGAGTCAAGAGAAGGGGAAAGCAGGCTAAAAGTTTTTCTCACATTACACTGTGTCTGCGTAAATATAATGTAAGAAATAACAGTCCAAGAGTCTTAACTCTGGTTTTACTTTCTCTGGCCCTCAATTGTGATGAGGTGTGAACCTCATCTCCATGCCAAACTCCTGAATCACTTGTGCACATCCTCAAGTATGCCTCAGTAAGTGTCCTTACCCATAAGCCCAGTGCTTACCCAAGAGCCCGGCATGGAGGCACGTGGTGTTGACCTCCTTTAAAATGCCTCCCTCCCCCACTCTGCTCCTACTTCCTCACTGAGGACCACTGCATGCATCTCTTGCCACAGGTGGGATTTCTCAAGCTGCCAAAGACTTCCAGTGCACAGTGATGTGGGAGACCATGACCTCGCTCCCATTCTTCCATTAATCTTAGAGCAATACAAAGAGGATATTACGGTGCATACCAATGTCTTACAAAGCTTTTCATGAAAACAGTGTTTCCCATCTTTATTCATAGGCCTCTGTCTCCTTGTGCAGATGTGAGCCAGGCTGGGTCAGAGACACATCCTCGTGGCAGACGCCCCGCCCTTCACAGGGCCAAGCCTGACTACTTGGCACATCCCAGGCTTTGTCAGCAGTCTCCCTTCACACCCCTGTCATATACCAATCCCAGTGAGGGCAAGAGGGCTCAAGGGCTGAGGCTGGGGGTAGGTATGCTCAGGGAAGCGCTCTAACAATTTCCAGAAACACAACTGGTATACTGGCTCTTTCCACTCCAATACCTATATTTATAAATGATGGTTTTTAAATGAGATGCTGAAGCAATAGAAGTATAGGAATTCTAAAAGGGATAAAGTATTAAGTTGTTCGTCAACAGTAAGGATAAGGGCTGATCAAGTTATTTTCTCATAGTGTCCAGTTCACTTCAACAGGTTTTCTTTTTGGAGATGGGTTGTCACCGATCAGGGAGAACATATGATATTTGTCCCTTTGGGACTGGCTTATTTCACTCAGCATGTGTTCCAGATTCCTCCACTTTGTTGCAAATGACCGGATTTCATTGTTTTTTTACTGCTGTATAGTATTCTATAGAGTACATGTCCCATAACTTCTTTATCCAGTCTGTTGATGGGCATTTAGGTTGATTCCAGGTCTTAGCTATTGTGAATTGAGCTGCAATAAACATTAAGGTGCAGACAGCTTTTTTATTTGCCAATTTAATTTCCTTTGGGTAAATGCCAAGGAGTGGGATGGCTGGGTTGTATGGTAGGGTTATATTTTTTTTCTACTTAATACTATTGGTTGAACTCTAATCAACACACAATTATTCCTAGGTGTTTAACTGAAAAGTGATCCCTGTTAAATATAAGAGTGGGAATAAGAGAGGGAGGAGATGTACAATTTGGGGCATGCTCAATCGGACTTGCCCCAAATGGTGGAGTTAGAAATGTGCGGGGATTCCAATTCAATCCCACCAAGGTGGCATGTACCAATGCCATCTCACTAGCCAAAGTGATCAGTTTCAGTTCACAAT